TAATACCCCAGTATGGATATACCACATTTTATTTATTTATCCATTTATCCAGTTGATGGACATTTGAGTCATTTCCACTTCTTGGGTATTATGAATAATGCTGACATGAATATTCGTGTACAGATTTTTGCATGGTCCCCTCTTCTCTGGCTTTATTTATGGATTCATCTCCGTTCTCCACTCTCCTTCCCACACAGGTAAACAGTTGCAGTGTATGTAATGCGTAGTTTTTGTTTTATGTGTTTATGATAAATGTATATTCCTCTTGTGTATCTGCATTTTTAATGTACATACATGGTATTGTGTTAGAGTTATTATTCTGTTTTACCTTCTTCACTCAGCATTGTTTCTATATCCATTCATGTGGCCCCCAGGGGGTGGACTGCTACCACGGTTTGCACATCCATTCCCACAGGGATGAATACTTTATTGTCCCCACTTCCCTGGCACCACCCACGAACCCAGAGTGGACATTCTGGTACTGGTTCCCTTCAGACCTGGGACAGAATGTCTAGAGTGTGTGTCCAGGAGTAGATTGCTGGGACATAGAATGTGCACATACTTACTTTAAGTGGTGCCGGATTGTGAGCGGTCTCTTGACAGCAGTCAACAAGACTGGAGACACACAGAGACAGATTGTTGTTTCATCCATTTTTTCCCATGCAGAAATAATAGTCAGAACGCACTCTCCATGAAGATTTGCAAAGCTTCAGGTCACCAGTAATGAGATGCACTGTGCCCACTGAAGCACAGAGATAGATGTATCTTTTTGTTTCATGTTTTATATCACTTTGCTAAGTTTCTAGAACACTGACTCCATCTAAACATTCTAATCTCATAAAATGAGGTGGTTCTTTATCCCTGGTGGATCAAAATTTTGAAGGAAAATTTCCCAAAACTATGTTCTTGGGGTGTAAAGAACTGTGACCCTATAAAGACCGTCTTTGTGTTTTGTAACCAAAGAGGAGATGCTGGGAAGGAACTGGCTCCTAAAACCCTCCCCAGTACTCAAGAGCACCAAAGAGCGGGCGGACAGGGAGGATTTAAATGATCATCTGCGAACTTTTATTTCTGATTTGGAGTGACCTCCTAGAGAGAGATTAAAATTCTTATGGGTGGTGGAACCTGATAAATTTCTTCCCTGGGGCAAGTTCCTACATTTGGGGCCATTGATCGTCTTGGCAAAGCTCAGGGTTAACATATCACTGCAGGTCTACTGAAGAGGAGTGGTTTCATCTTAAAGGACTCACTCCGAGGTCACCCTACAATCCCACACCTAAGGGTGCCTCTTTTTACACAACAGACGGGTGCCATCGGAAGTCTTTTGCAAAGAATCCATTTGTATGTAATGTGAATCCCTTTGTCCTCATTTTGGTTTCTCCTGTTTGGATTTCTCATAATTGGCTTTTCTTGAAGTAAAGGCCACACTCCTGCTGGATAGATCGAAGCTTTGTCCGGACAGTCCCAGTAAATCACTGGAAGGGCCTGACAGGCAGCTGGGAAGGGACACAGTGGTCGTTAGTGCCAAGTGCTCCCTCTACTCATTGCCCCACCAGCTTCTGGTTTTCAAATTCTAGCTCTGTGGAACAGCTTCTACGGCTGGCTTTATGTGCAAGTACTTAGGATAAAAAGAGAACCCAGCATTTCACAACACTGAGCTTCATTTCCAGTACTGCCCTCTCATAATTGCTGAGAGGGAATAGAAGGAGATGATATCTTTGGAGAAGTCAGCAGGACTCCCTACCTCCATTTGTCCTCAAGATTTTGCTTAATATCAGCATCATGGACATGGGGCCAGTGGTCACAGGTCATGGGAGCTGAAAAAAAAAAAAGATTATGATGACAATAATAGCAGCTCTCTTTACCCAGTGCCTATGGCCTGCTAGACATTGTGCTGGTGATTTATATATATTTTCACTCATCTACTCGGTAACATTGCAAGGTAAGCCTCCTCTCAATTTTGTGTATGAAGAAATTCAGGTTCCAGAGCCTGTCCCATGTCACAAAGCAGAGATTTACCTAAGGTCTCTCTGGCTTTACCCGCCACATTCTTCCTACTACCCTAGGCTCCCCTAGACCCCCACTTTCTGCCCCACCAAGGGCCTCATCTCTCCCTGACTCACTCGCTACTTCTGCTATTCTAGGGTGCCAGGCTCTGACTCAGAGCATGTGGGAAGGAGGTTCCCTGGCACCAGGAGGGACGTGAAGCTCAGGAAGCAGTTTAGAGTCGGAATAAGCATGTTAATTCCTCTCTGCTGGGACAGAAGGGAAGCAGCATCAGGAGAGAAATGCCCAGAAGCGGGTAGGAAGGGGCGAAGGAGGGTCTGGTCACGAGAAGGCAGGGATGGTGCAGAAGCTGCTTCTCGGTCTCACCCTCTGATCCCACTGCCCCACACTGAGCAGGGCCTACAGTGTGTCTGTCCTCAGGGAAGACTGAACAGCAGAAGCAGCCTGGGAAACTGGGCAGCAGAACTTCTCTTGGGCCATGAAGTCACACTGAGGACTGAAAGGAAGAAAGTTCTTGTGACTGTGGGCTCAGCAGGTATCACGAATGTGTGTGAGGCTCGGGTTTTCCCTCCACCCCTGACTTTGCGACAACCTGGGCTCCAGAGTCTGGCTGGTGGTGGGGCTAGTGGGCCAGTCAGAAGAGAGGAGAGGAAAGAGGACGGGAGAGCCCACAGTGCACTGGGCATGGGATGTGGAGGGAGAATAAGGAACCATGGGGCTCAGATGCCTCCCTTTTTAGACTGGGAGCTTCACTTGATGGAACTTGCAGGACTGTGATATACGGTTGAGCAGACCGTGCCTCCCATACTCTGGGAGATTCCATTCAACTAGACCACAGTGTAAATGGCAAGTTAGGCACAGGCTGAAGTATAGGAGTAGTCCTGCCATTGGGTGCTTAGAAATCATCCTAGAGAGGCCTCCCATTATTCTAGGTTTTGAAGGTGGGAACCCTGGAGCTTGAGCGCCATCCAGGAATTAAAGAGGTCATTATCTGTCATGAGGTCAGCTGTTCCTGGCCAGAGATCTCCTTCCTGGCTGTCAAGGTGTTGACCCTGGCCCCATAGGCACCCAGGGCTGAAGTGGCAAAGTCCTTGATCTATCACTGCATCAACATCACAAAAGCCAATCATAATGCAAAACAAATTCTAAATGATCTCATTGGACACAATAGCCGATCCTCTTGAATGAAGACATAGCTTGGCCTCTCAGGCCTGCTGTTCCAACGATCTCAGACTATCTCGAAGATTTGACTTCTTCCCGAAGGAGACCCCAGAGGCTTGCTTGCCGTTGGTCCTTTGCCTTTTCAGGCTCCGTCTTCCTCCTGGCTCCTCGTTGGCCCTGTTGTCCAGTGTACCATCAGAATCAGCCCAGCCGACCCTCTGCTTCCCTCCCTTTCGAGTGGAACCCAAGAACTCCCTTTCCCTTGAATTCTTCATTTCACACATGTTAACCTGAGGATTGAAGAGGTAAAAACAATGTAGATGTTTAGCAAGCAGGGAGTCTAAACCCCATCCCTCAGGGATACCTCAAATATGCCTGCAAGTCTTATGAGGAAGTGAGGTTGCCAACTGCATTTCGAATCAAGGGATGAGAGGAAGGAAGTCAGTGGGCCAGAGGTAGCTGCTGACTGGACTCAACTGGCCTCATGAGTACCCTGATTCAGTAGGAGCCCAAGCCTGGGACATCCTCATGGGTCTCTCCACTGGACAACCTGGGGAAGGTACAGGGTTTGGACTCTGGCCTGGGCAGGGCAAACTTGCCTTTGTGCCAGCTCTCATCCCTACAGTCAGCCAGACCTGGAATCTCTTGGGCTCAACCCCAGGAGGTAGAACAGCTGGTGGAGGCAGTCTCCACCAGCTGTTCTACCTCCTGGGGTTGAGCCCAAGGCTGTCACACTGGCGCTGACCAGCGTTCCCCAGTGAGGCTAAACTTGGCAGCTCCTGCCCATGAATTCCAACCCAGACAGCTGCTTGAGGAATAAAGTGCTGGGAGTTTCCTTTGGACAGGGAAGTTTAAAACTGATAATGGTAAAGGGATCTGAGCTGTAAGCTGCTTCTCACAGCTAGTTTAGGAAAAAGGCCTTACCAGGACCCACAACTGAGAAGAGAACAGTGATATGAATCAGTCTTCTTGGGCCTGCAACTCGGTGGATTCCACTTAAAATTTGTTCCTTCCTGGTCTGGTCCTTGGGTGCTTACACCTTGAAAGGTCTTCTTCCATTCTCGAGCCCCTGCATTCCTAAAACCTAGCAACTTCAGCTCCCATCCCTAGGTCCTTTCTTTACTTCCAATTTCCCGTGTTGCTTGCTCTTTGAAAGTCACCCTAGGAATTTATTGACATCTCTTGGTGCTGAAACATCAGGATGGCTGAGTAGTGCAGGGACAAGTTACACGTTAGTCTGCAAGTAGGACCCTTGAGTTGAATTTCTGAGGGTGAGGGTGGTCCAAGCTCAGCCAATCTGTTTTCCTTTGTACAAGGCTTTTTCCTCCTCACAGGCCATTTCAATCCCTTGCTACTGCTGCATATTGTAAGCAGAAACCTCTGCTGGCATTAGGCTGGAAGATCAAGGTAAGCACCTCCCTCCAGAGAACCACATGTAGGAAAGGCAAGATGTGAGGAGAGCACTAGCCTTAGCAGCCAGACCAAGCCACTGTCTGGCTTTGGGATCTCAATCTCTGAAATGAGGGGGCTGAACTAGATGATGTAGTTAACCACCCCCACTTTCTTCAGTATAAAGTCAAAAATGCTAATTTAAGCCCAATTCTTCTATGACCTCCCAGTCTCCCCGACCCTTGCTCTGGCTTCTCTCTGGCAGATGTTTCATTTGAAAAGCTTGTTCTCCTAAGTATAATTCCATTGCCTCTTTTCCATCAGCAATTCAAAACCTTCCTCTCTCATATTTCTCTGCCTGCCCTCTCTCTCCAAGTGCCACGAATGTGCTCTTGAATCTATATTCCAGATCCGTTCTGAGAATTTAGTGGGCTGGGATTGAACTCTGACCCTTTGCCCTTGGCCTAGTCTGACTTTTCTTGGCATTGATTATTTTTTAATGATTTAGCTTCTTCTTGAATCAGATGTTAAGAAATATTTAACACACATATATACACACACAAGACAATCCTGCATGGAAAACTGTTCAAAACTTTTCTTTGGCACAAACACAGCATTTCCATGGCTTGCCACTCTCTTGATTCTTTAGGGCTGGTCCAGTGCCAGACTGGGGAATTTCAGCTTGAAAGGCCAGAGAGAAGTTCGGTGTCCCAGCTCCCGAGGTCTGGGCCATTTCCAGTACTATCGTGTTAAGACTACAGTTTAAGGAAACCCACCACTCCTCCCCTACCCGCTGCAGATTTGCTGCCATAAGCAAGGATCTGTGAGGTCTGTCAGCCAGACATGACGTTGAGCTCCCAGCTCTCAAACAGAGTCTTTTTGGGTAGTTGGCTCAAGTTGGAGGTGGTATCCAAGGACCCAAACTCAACTTTAGTCCAGTCCACTATAACAGGGATAATTTATTCTTTTCCTGGTTTCGAAGTTTGTTAATAAACAGTAAATTCTTTCTGAAGGACTTACTTTTTATATTCTTTGGCAGACTCCACCAAAAAAAAAACCTTCTATGAGGTGTGCATATTGCTATTGGAAGAGAGGATATGCTACTGAAGCAAGCACTGGTGCTTTCAATAAATCAAGCACTGATCGAAGGTGTCTATATACTCATTTAATTCTCTAACAATAGGCCAAGACAGGTACTTGTCCCCGTTTTACAGATGAGCTTGCCAAATATCTTTGCTCACCGACTGGTGCTGGTTGGCACTAAAGAGATGTCTCAGGAATGAGAGCTCATCTTGACAGCTCATGGACTAAAAAAATCAGGTTTTAGAGTTGAGAGGACCTCCATATTTCCAAGAGTCTGAGTAATTTGCCCAAGGCTCATGCAGCTACTCCATTGAAGAACCACTATAGAATTCACTTGTGCTAGTGCAATGCTATTTCCATCCCACTCATAGATCTCACAGGAAGAAGAGAAAAGAACAGAAGTTAGCCTTAACAATTTAAGGTAGGGTCTTGGAGAGACTAGAAATGTTAAAAAACATTGACTCCAAGATACGAAGAGAAAATAAACAAGGTGGTAGGTTTGGGCCCCACATAGTTACTGAGTCAAGCAGGGAGAGATCTCTCTATGACAGCCAATGTGTCACCACTGACCACACACTCACTTGTTTCAGGTACATGTTTAAGTGTGCTGATGTTCAGAGCATTTTATGATCATTACTTCATGGAATTCATGCATTCTAGAAAAAGAATTCCCAAGCTAATCCTGCATTTTTATTGATGTCCATTATTGTAAATTTAGGATTTGACTTGATGACCGAGTGTTCGAGGCCAGTCCATGGCACGTTCAGTGCTAGGCTACTGAGAACGTGCCTAGGCTACTGAACGGATCTGGAAAGCTGTTGAACGACCTAGCATTTTATTTCTTTCACTGCAGTCTTCCTAATCCCCTTCCCTCCAAACATCTCCCCTCCCAGTTTCCCTAGACCACGAGAATGTCTTTCGTGTCTAAGGATCCTGGGTCGGCACCCAGAAACTTTAGTGTTTTATTGCCTTTCTCCAGCCTTGATGGGAATACTAACAAAGCCAGATAGATGGAGACTTGTAAGCTAGCATTCTATACGTCAGCTGGAATATTTCATTAGCTCATGGCTTTGGGTTCCAAAAAGAAGTCATTTCCCAACTTCAGTAATTTGAAATGCTAGATATCCCATTTCTTTACAGTGTGACTGTCTTGTAGATAAGACGGGGTCCTGTGCAGGACCGTTATGCACAGCTCCAGCACTCTGTTGAGTGAAGGAAATTGAGCAACTCCTTCTGCTTGTCCCTGGCCCCAGTGAAGTTTATCTTTGTCGCCAGGCCTCCAATCTGAGAAGCATCTTACCAGTTTTGCACTAACAGTAAAATGCAATTGGGACGTGGATGGCTCAGATTTCTTTTCACATACTTTTCTTGTTTTATGTGGGAAGCACTGTTCTTTAAAGAAATTCAAAATTACTTCCAAGCTACCTGAATTCATGGAACGAAATACCATGAGAGAACTACGCACCTTGCCCAAAGCCATTATCCTGCTGCTGTGGGCAAGTCTGGACTCACCGAGCTTTACTTCACTTTAGTGTTTCAGCCCTGGCACAGTGCCTTGCTCAGGTCAGAAGGACAGTCTTTTGGAAGGTTTATTTTCCTCACAAGAGTCTTGGTTGGCAGGTATTTTGCTGTTAACTGAAGGAGGCAGGTTTACAGGTAAGGCTTTTTTCTTTTCAGAAAAAAAGTTTGCATTGCATGCCTGAGATAGGGCAGGAAAAGGAATCTGATAATATTTGGAAACATGAGAAAACATCATTTCTTTGGGGGCTGTTTGTAATATCACTCCACTGCATAACTCCCTCAGCTCCAACTAATAAAAGGATCAATTCCAGGACGTCACTATCCGGAGTCCATCTAAGCCTGGTGTAAAAAGACCAAGAAGATACTTCCCTCTACCCTACATTTTGTTGTCCATATGTGACCTTTGTCCCAACCAACAACCACTGGCATGGATATGGAGTATCACAGTTTTTCTTCCAGTCTTTGGTGTAGCTTTGAAACAAGTTTCCATCTAGGCAAGAACTAAAACAGGAAAGAAATGGAGGAGGGGTGTCTAAGCAACCAAGTCTTCCCTGGAAGAGAAGAGGAAGCCGTGAGAAGTGAATAATAGGTTTATTTGCATATACACAGGAGAAGAGTCAGCGCTGCTGGGAGAGAGGTGGGCTTCTGAGGAGGTAAGGCTTCAGCAGAGGAAGGCACCTTGACAAACAAGGGACTCCAGGCTTAGTAAACCAAGCCCAGTAACAACCTTTGTTTGCCCCAAGCCAGTTAACTGCCCTTGTAACTCATTTATTTGCTGTCCTAGACACAGGAATCACTTACAAAACCAGGTGGAAAATAAAAGTGGAGAAAAACGGTTTTACATATCTGGACCAGCCACTTAAAGTTTTATGTATAGGATGCAGAAAAAAAACATAAGAGGCACTTTCAAATAGCTCTTAATCTAATCAGTGCCATCTGTCTTGCTAATAAAAATACCTATTATGGAAGAATCTGAGGATTAAATGTGCCTCCAAAGTTGGAGCCTCAATTCTACAAGAGTTTAGGTAAAGGGACCCTGAAATAGTTCCAGGTTTCCAGAACATGATCACAGACAGGAGAGTTCTGGAAATGAGAGTGCAGTAGCTACAGAGACAAGCATTTCTCAGCCTGCTCCTGTGGGGCCTATCTCCTGGCTAGCTGAAACTGGGGTGCTGGGAAGTCTCTCCCAAGAATAGGCATCCTTAGTTAAAAAGAATCTTTTTTGGATATTGAAGTTGAACCGGAATAAACTCTGACTTCTCTTTTGAGTTCCCAAATGAGATTAAGGCTTTTAACATGTAAAGACCAAGTTCTGCATTTGGGAATAACTAACTACCAAGTGGCTAGTTCCCAAGGGAACTTTGCTTCTTTATTCTCCAGGAAGATATGTGGATTGCCTTTAGAGAAGTCAGAAGAGGCTCCCTACTGATTAAATGAAACAAAAAGATTGGGTATGCTGACTAGGAAGGGGAAGAGAAACACACACTGAGTGATTGTACCTTTTTTGTATATAAAGGATTAAAAAATTCCAATTTAATAAATTTTGGAAAAGCAAATGTAAAATGACTTGGGCTTATAAAACCAGAATTTACAATTATCTGTGAATAGTCAAAGACAAATGATAGAACCAT